GGGTTTGAACCTCCAGCCTTCTGGTGAGCAGTCAAGTGCCTTAGGCACTGCGCCCCCAGAGCCCCCCCATGAGCACTATATCCTCACAAATATCTACTGGATCCTTACTGATTCTCTCTGCCCACCTCCCACCATGGGCCCAGGGCACCACTAGAGTGTGGGTGCCAGAAAGCTGGAGCCGTTCTCTTCACTCTGCTAACCCCAAGAACACCTGCTATGAACAGGGAAAAAAAAACCCACTGCCACTGAGTCGATCCCGTCTCATAGCGACCTCAACTGGGTTTCCAAGGCTGTAAATCTTTACATAAACACATTGCTCCATCTTCCTGCTGCTGAGCAGCTGGAGGGTTTGAACCACCAACCATCTGATCAGCAGCCAAATGCCTTACCCACTAGGACACCAGAGTTCCTCTGCCATGAATAAAGCAAGTGATGAAAATCTGCTGAATGAATGGATGACTAGAACCACCTCCTTACTGCTCCCTGCCCCTACACTCTCCACACCCTGGCAGTCAGAATGATCTTTAATGATAGAAATCCAATCCTGCATGCTTCCCTGAACACTTTCAGAACAGAATTCTCAACTCCTTATAAAGGCCCATCCTCCAACCCTTCTTCACCCTGCCTGCCCTCAGCTCCTGGCACCACGGCCTTCCTCCAGTTCCTCGGTCATGTCATCTACGGCTGGGTCAAGGCTGGCTCCGGGTCATCTAGGACTCAGCAACACCATCCTCCCCCAAGGCCAGCTGACCACCCTAACACTTGCAGGTGACCCTCTTCCTTCTCCAGGCCACTCCACAACCCCTCCTACCTTGTCTCCTTCATTGTCCTTAATGCGGTCTGCAAGGCCTGTTGATAAACCTACTTTTAACTTTTTTCAAAAAAAAAAAAAGGGAAGCTCGAGGAGGAGGAACTCTACTCCTACAGGGTCCCCGGGGCCTGGAACTTAGAGAGGACTTGGCACATGCAAGGGGATCTACAAATATCCATCCGCTGGGCAAGTACCCACAACCCGCACACACGCTGCGTGCCCGGGCGTGCCGGCGACGTGCCTGCTGGCGAATCGCAGCCCTGGCCTCCCCGGCGCACCTGTGCCTCGGCGCTCCGGCGTTCCTCCCACTCGCGGCAGCTGGCCAGGTCGCGGCGCCACTGCTCACAGGCCGGCTGCTCGCCGTGGACGTAGTAGTGGTGCAGGCGGTGCCTCGCGCTGCGGCACAGATCCCACTCGGCGCGGTAGGCCTCGCACGGACGCGGCGGCTGCGGCGAGAGGCGGGGCCTGAGTGGGGCTGGTGGTGCAGCCCACCCCAGAGGCCGCTGGACAGCCCGCCCTCCGACCCCGTCCCGTCCTGCCCAATGAGTGTCCAGTTACTGCGGCCGCCTAGTCCGACGAGGCCGCTGCGGATCCCGGGCACAGACCACCCTTACCCGCCAGTTGTCGCCGTCGGCCATGTCTGGGAGAAACCACCAAGCCCCGCCTTCTCAGCCCGCCAGCCAATAGAGATTGAAGAAAGCCGCCACTACAGTAACCAATGAATTCCTAGATAGAGTGGTGGCGTAGGGTCTAAGGCATTTGACTGCTAAGCAGTTCAAAACCACCAGCCTTGGAAGGATGATTGGGAAATCTACTTGTGAAGTGACACTGCCTCGGAAACACAGGAAGTCGCTATGAGTCGGACCTCACACCGCGGCAGTGAGGTTTTTTTTTTGACTTAACCTCGTCCACCTCCTACAACTGCTGGAGGGTCGGAACCACTGACATTTTGGTTAGCAGCCAAATGCTTTAACCACTACCTCACCCGAGCTCTTTCACCAATTTGAGAAGCCTTCAACAGGAGGTCCAGCTGGGGCAACAATAAAGCCAAGCGTAGTGGCGCGCGCGCCAGGCGGGCGGAAGGGGCGGGGCCGTGGGGAGAAGGTGCGGAGGTGTCTTGAGGACAGAAAGCCTAGGCAGGGGCCCACTGTTACCCGGAAGCCAAGAGGTGGAGAAGGAGCCCAGGCCTCACAGGAAGCCACAGGATGGTTGCTCATGAAACCACACGGTTCAGGCTAGTTTTTTCAAGAGCTTCATTATTTTCATAAATGCCAAAGGTCGGGTTAATTTTCTTAAGCACATAACCAAAAAACAAACTCACTACCATGGAGTTGGATCCGACTCATAGCAACCACTCCTTGGCTTTCCGAGACGGTATCACTGTGGAAATAGATTGCCCAACCTTCCTTCCGAGGAGTGGCTGGTGGGTTGAACAGCCAGCCTTCTGCTTAGCAGTAGTAGGCACTACAGCACCAGAGCTCCTACCTAAGCACATATTGAGCATCAATTCTGTCCCAGGAAGATACCAGGTCCTGGGGTAACTGGTCTCACCTGCACATCTGCTCAAGAGGATGAAGGTACACTCACAAAATACTTGGGTTGGTTCTGCACAGAATGAGGTGAGGGGCAGAATACAGGGTACTGCATAACCTCCTGAAGGGAACTAGCCCAGTCAAGGGCATGGAGGCTGAAGCTGGGCCTTACAAATCTGGAGGCGGCTTGTCTATCTGATAAACTGTAGGCTGTTATGAGGATATGAAGAGACAGAATGTTTACACACAGGAGAAATGCAAAGAGGCATGAAAGGCAAAAGAAAGAAACCAGAGGGCCTGTTCCACCCCCTGCAGTACCTCACACCTGGATACAGTGGCTCTCCAACTTCTGTTGTTGTTAGGTGCTGTCCAGTCGGCGCTGACTCACAGTGACCCAGTGTACAACAGAACGGAACACTGCCCAGTCCAACGCCATCCTCACAATCCTTGCTATACATGAGCCCGTCGTTGTAGCCAGCCAGTGTCAATCCATCTCATTGAGGGTCTTCCCCTTTTGTGGTGACCCTCCACTTTACCAAGCGTGATACCCTTCTCCAGGGAAAGGTTCCTTCTGACCACACGACCAAGTAGGTGAGACGAAGTCAGGCCATCCTCACTTCCAAGGGGCATTCTGGCGCACTTCTTCCAGGACAGACTTGTTAGTTCTGACAGTCCATGGCATTTTCAGCATTCCAACACTGTAATTCAAGAGCATCAACTCTTCTTTGGTCTTCCTTGTTCATTGTCTAGCTTTCACATGCATGTGAGGCGACTGAAAATACCACGGCTTGGGTTAGACGCCCCTTAGTCTTCAAAGTGACATCTTTGCTCTTCAGAACTTTAGAGATCTGAAGATTTTCCCAGTGCAATACACTAATTTCTTGAGACTGCTGCTTCCCTTTGAGTTGTGGATCCAAATAAAACAAAATCTTTGATAACTTCAATCTTTCCTTCATTTATTGTAATGGTGCTTATTGGTCCACTTGTGAAGATTTTTGTTTTCTTTATGTTGAGGTGTAATCCATACTGAAAATTGTAGTCTTTGATCCTCATCAGTTAAGTGCTTCAAGTCTTTACTTTCTGAAAGCAAGGTTGTGTCATCTGCACATCGCAGGTTGTTAATGAGTCTTCCTCCAATCCTGATGCTGCACTCTTCATATAGTCCAGCTTGGATTATTTGCTCAGCATACAGACTGAGTAAGTGTGGTGAAAAGATACAAGCCTGACACACACCCTTCCCGATTTTAAACCACGCAGTATCTCCTTCTGTTCGAATGATAGCCAACTTCTGTAGACAGAATCATTTGCTGGGGAGCTCCTTAGGACTGTGTTGCTGGACCCACCCCAGAAGTGAAACTAGGTCAAACTCACTGGAGGAGGGGCCCAGAAAGCTGCAATTTTACTTAGGGCCTGCCATTGAGGTGGCTGGCCCATGGAGGGACACTAAGACTACAGGCCAGGGTGCAGCAGTTAATGACCATGACCTTTGCTTCAGGTGCCCACTGTATATTATCTTTAATGCTCCCACCAGAAGACCCAACAACTGACTCTACCTCCTGACCCAAGCAGGGAGTGTTCCCTGCACTACCAGCAAGGAGCCAGAGGGAGTCCACTGCATACACAGTAAATGTGGTAACAAAGGCCCAGGGCCAGTGGCTTACTGTAATATCCTTCATTATGCTTATAATTACAATTTGTTGGCCAATCTGATCGACCAAAGAGGGTTCCCACTTCTGCTAGGGAAACTGAGGCCCCTTAGTGAAGGGTCAGGTAGGTCACTGAGAATTCATGTCTTCCAAAACCCTATCACAGTGGCCTGACCTCTGTGGTGACCATGTGGGCCACAGGGCTGAGCCCTGATGATTGACATTCGTTGCAAGTTCTCTCTGAGGACACCTGGGTGGACCCTGGGGTTGCCATCCTGGAGCGGTCAGCTCTTTTCCTCTTCTGAGTGTTGGAGAAATCCTGTCCCAAGGCAGACTTCTGCCAATAAGCAAGACAAGCCCTGGCACACAGAGGGAGCCCTGCAGAACCTCATCATCTCTACTCCTAGGGGTCAAAGAACCTCGTTTTTCCCTACATTCTCCAGGAGAAACCCTAGAGGGGCATATTTCTATCAGCAGGATGGGAAGTGGGGTGGGCACCTGTAAGGAAGCCTGCCTTCTCTTCCTGCTTGGTGGTGGTCCAGCCACCAATCCATGTTGTTACATAATCAAACATTTAGAGCCAGGTTTAGTCATTGCCTGTTTTTATTTGAAATTCCTGATTTAGAATTCTTTTCAAGGAATAGAAGAGATTAAGATAATTGGACTCCCATGCCAAAATATGTCACATTTCAGAGAGTGACAACCTCAGGCCAAATTAATCCTATTCAAAAATACAGACAGACCAGCAGAACTGTGGTAATTTACTACATTCAAATTGGGAGTGACGGTAGGGGAGAAGGGGAAAGTGGAGATCTTCAGTATTTATTCTAATATGCACATTTGTGCTTCAGCATAACTTTGTTTTACTATAGAACAGGTTCACTCAGGAGCCAAAGTTATTTCCACATGAAACTAAAATAAAAGTGGGTGCTTTGTTCAAATGAGGTTTGCCTTCTAAGGAATGGTACTTAAAACATTTTTTTTTTTTTTAAGTAAATAGAAATACCCTTTGTCAAATATTTAAATTGTAGCCAGAGTACTGGATATTCTCGGCTGAAGGCAATGTCTTAAGCAAATGACCTGGAACAAAAAAAGAAAGGCTAAATAATAATAATAATAATAATAATAAAACAGAACATCGCAAGTTGAAGGCAGGCAGTCCCTCCGCCAGCTTTATCAAAAAGGAGGGAACTCTGCTCTCACTCTGCCAGTGGGCGCCCCCAGGGGCTGAGCATAGCGTGGTGAGGAGGTGGCCAACTACCAGGACTCAAAGGCGGCTCTTTCCCAAAACCAAGCACACAACTATGAAGTCCTGCTGTTGCATTTCCAGGTCCAACTTGGTAATTCTAGGTAACGCTAAACAAACCTTAAGTAACAGAGCTTTCTCTGACAATAGTCTCATCCCTCTCAAAGCCAGTAACTAAAAAGCAGTATGTTGTAATCGATTATTTTATTTTCCAGTCAGTCAACAGTCCCAACTTAGGGTTTTCTTCCCTTTTTACGCAATGACTGTCCTTCTCCAGAAAATGCGACGAATCTGCCTCCAGCTTCATCCTAGGTGGAAGATAAAATACCATTTTCAGAAAATCCTTGGGGATTTATAAGAAATGTTCTGTTGACACATGTACCATCCCAGCCATTTTTCTTACTTTCTCATTATTCATAATAAAAAATCCATTTGAAATACAAATACAAACTGTAATTGACTAAACTGAGGAAATCTTAACTGTGAGTCTGGCACAGCCTACATTTTTAGGTTAAAAGTGCATTCTTTTACAAAAGCATTGCATTTTCAAGGTAAAGAAAATAAAAGAACACATCCAGAAAGTAAAAGTCACTCATAACTCTACTACCCTTTCTAAAAAAAAGCCTTCCATTCACTTTTCAGTGTATGATTGTATAAACTGTAATGAATTTCCCATCTCTTAACCTCCAGAGACTACAGAAGCTCCAGGGGCATAGTAGGTAAGGCATTTGGCTGCTAACCACAAAGTCTGTGGTTCAAACCCACTAGGTGCTCTATGGGAGGAAAATAAGGCAATCTACTTCTGTAAACATTTACAGCTTTGGAAAAGCAAAGGGGTTGTTGAGTTGAAATGGACTCCATGGCACTGGATTTGTTTTTTTTTTTTGGTTTTTTTGAAGAGGCTGCAGACTCTGCCACAGGTGGGCCCGTCTTCTACCACTGCATGACCCTTGCTGCTCAGGCTTTCAGGACGAAGTGCTGGGATGAAACATCCTCATGTGCCCACACACAGTCCTGGGTTTTCCTAAAAGCGGAATTCCGGGATAAAAGGGTGTTATGTGTTTTTAAGGCTTTTAATATACACTGACTACAGCAGTCAGAAACCTTCTAAGCTCTTCTCCTACCTGCAGAGAGGGGGCTTATTTTTCTAAACCCTTGAAAACAGGTGGTATCTTGGCACAATGACCCATTTCCCTTTGCTTTCACGGCTAGGCAGTCCCACTGCTTCCATCTACAGACGTTTTTTCTCTGGAAGAGGGTTCTGCTCTAACACCCCCCCCACTACCCTGAGCCCCCAGCACTCGTTCTGCCCACTCCTCATCCTAATGCAGCACTGTGGTGGTTCTAAGCCAGCAAGCGTGACCTACAGCCCAGCCAGTCAGTCTTCTCTTCCTGGAGCCTTCCGATTCTTCTGGTGTCAACAGTGGCGTCCGGGTTCTTTCTCCCCCGCCCCCAATCCAGTCAGTGGTACCCCAGCAAGCTCCTGGGGCCTCAGCAGCCTGGCCTGCACCAGCCCTTCCCCGGCACGGCACATGGTGCTGGGACTCCGTTTTCTTATTTCTGTCTTTTTTATTTTTGTGGGGTTCATCCTCCAGGATCTTCTGAAAAAGGCTGCATGAGGAGGATCTTACATGTCTGAAAATACCTTTTTTCTACCCTCACACTTCATTGATATGTTGGCTGTTTACAGAATGTTAGGTTGGGAAGTTTCCCCCTCAGGACTGTCTAGATTCCGTGTCCTACTAAGAAGCTGGTGCCATTCTCAGTCCAAGTGAAGCCTCTTTAGAGGTAGCTCCTTTGTTCCAAAGTGGGGTCATTTTCACCCGTTCTGAGCACTCTGGGGCCCTTCCAAGCATGCAAACGAATGCCCTTTGGTTTGGGGAAGTGATTTCCCTCACAACC